TCATACCTGCTTTGGTTTCAGTCTCCTGCTGTTCCCCTTTTCGTGGACTTGTGTTTGGACATGAAATGTCTGAAGCCTGGACTGAGTATGGTCTAAACACAGACTTTGGCTACCTGGATTAGTTTTTGTGACCTCTTCGTCCCTGGGGGCTTATGGCCTATTTGCCTGTTCCTGCACTGCCCCCTCCCCCTGCTTGCCTGTCTTTTGTATGCAAATCACTCTCCATTTGATGCACAGCTCCATGCATGTCCTTTCCCCGCATCTGGAGAAGCGAGCTCAGGCTCACGAAAGCTTATGTTATGCACCTAGTTAGTCTATAAGGTGGACATCTACCCTGCCTTCTGCCCCACTTCAGACCAACACAGCTAGCTAGCTACTTCTCTCCTGGACTTGGTGACATTTCTAACTGCTTAAAACAGTGTGTTCCTTCACAGCTTTGATGATATTCCCCTAGCATAGTCCTTGTTCTGAGCCAAGAGTAGATAGGCTTATCACACTGCATAAATAGCTCTGGGTGAATGATAGCATGGGCTCAGCCCAGGTTGTTTGCAAGGCAGAAACAATAAACAGATATAAAAATATTTAAACACCCTTCCAGAGAAATTCAGTGCAGCCAAGAGGCAGAAAACCATCTTTCCCGAAGGTCACAGGAAGAATCCAGATTATATTTGGGCCTTCAATGCTCTCCAGCAATGGGGCCAGTTATTCTCAACGTCTTTGAATCCAGGTTTTTCCAAGATACTCTCCCCCCAGCGTGTCTTGCAAAACAGGTTGGCGCAAAGCAGTTCTAGTAATCAAGGGACGTAAACTGAGCACACTTGCTGCACTGGGCTTCTCTCCCAAGGGGCAGGAATAGGCAAGGCCTGTTCTGACCCTGCAAATTCAGCTTGCCTACGCAAACAGTGACTCAGGGCCAGCCCATGTAGTCACTGCCACTTTGCACCCAGTGCTTGGTTTAAACCCGTGAGTTCACTTGGCAGCTGCATGAAGGTCGATACAACAGTAAATGAGCAAAGGATGCCATTTGGTTCAGTTCACTTTAATGAAAAACTTTATCCATATGGGCAGGGAAGCAAGCGTTTCCAATATCTGCCCGTGATAGGACTTCACCCTTCATCCGACCGGCTGTGCCCACCGCTCTCTGCATGTGCTAGCTGTTGTGCTTTGAGAAAAGCATGGAGGGCAGCCAGGGTGGCAAGAAAGGGAAGGGGCTTTGTGAAATCCTGCCATTTCAGAGAGATAAAGTTCCACGCCCATCTCCATCCCTGGAGCTGCAGCCCCCTCTCCTGGCAGCTGCCTCTGCTCCTTATCGCAGCCGCAAATCCAAGCTCCTCTTTTGCTCTCCCAGCTGGGATTCTGCAGCAGACACCCCAACAGAAGTGTGAACGATCAGAAATGATCGTAGCTAATGAAACACAAATGATGTGGCCAGCCTTTTTTTCCTACCCCCTCCTTGCTTCCTCTCTGATCACGGAGTGAGTCATTTCCTCCGTTATCTCTGGGTTTGTCTTTGCTTTGCTGAATTCCTGTTTGCATTGCATACGGTTTCATCATCTGATTCAGTTTAGAGGAAACGGGGGGCCTCTGAGGCCCAAACGAGTCCTTCAGACACTTGACTGGGACAGAGCATCTGATCGACCAGGAGGGGCTCCATAAACTTGCTCCAGATGGATCTCACACCGGTCTATCGTTTCCAGCCTGTCACAAGCCATGCAGCCAGGTTTCAAGGATGCACCACTCCTTCTGCAGAGCTTTCTTTCCCCATGGACTGCCCCTCACAACTGTAACAGGACCAGAACACGGTCTGTCCGCAGTGCCAGCCTTCACAATTCATTTTACCTTCCCTGGATCTCTTCCACTCCCCATTTCCAACGTTGAGAGGTGAACGAAATAAGCAGTTTCCGCCCTGTTTGGCTCAAGCATGACACCAACTTTGTGCCAGGCGGTGAAATGGTGGGTTTGGCTTTTTTCCCCTCTTCTTTTTATAGCCGGGAGCTCCCCGGCCTCCAGCTGTGCTGATTACAATCAGGACCCGGCCCCACCTGCTGTTGAATTTTATGGGGATTACCAGCTACTTTTGTCCCTTGTCTTCTGTCCACTGTGGCATGGGCTTGCTAACCCTGAAACCCCCAAAGACTGTTCTAGATCCAGAAGCAGGCAGACAGCTAATGACAGGCATCCTTACGCCGACCACCATACCGACCCAACAGCCAAATCCCCAGAGGTTCAGGAAGGGGTGGGGAAGGGGGGCAAAATCTTTAAACACTCTCAATGTTTTCATCGCTTTAATAAAAAGACCTGCCAAATACTTGAGTCTGTCTCCTGCAAAGGCAGGGTACTATTCTCTTGTATAGGGCACATCCGATACCCAGCTAATATTATTATGTCTAGTGAGGTGCTTAGGGATTGTAGAAACCTTTTCCTGGGACTAAGCGAACAAGTGAAGTGAACAAGTCTAGCAGCACCATTTTGTACTAAACAAAGGCCAGATATAAAGCAAAGAGAACAATTAAAGCCCAGTCGTAGGATCATAGAAAAGTCAGGCTGCCGGGCGGAGGTGGCCCTCAGGTTACATCTAGTCCAGCCCCTGCATGAGGCAGGGCCATCCCTGACTAAACCATCCTAGACAAGTGTCCATCTAACCTTTTAAAAAGGTCGGGACCAGCCCCACAAAGGGAAAGGGGAAAACCGCACCAGTGGAATCTAGCACCATTAAAAGGCTATTTCCAGGTCTGGCATGCTCAGGAAGGTCAGCAAGCGACACAAAGCTCAAGGAGGCCTCACGTGGAGTGCAGCAGACAATTCCCTCTCTCTCTATATACATCTCATGCATATACGCAGATACATATATACACACGCAGACAGATGCTCACGGACACCCAGCCCAAACAGAAGCCGGGGCATCTCAGCAGTCAGATGGGCATTTCTGAGTGTGTCCATGGGATTACCAGGGTCGCATGATTCCAGCTGCCAGCCTTCTCCAAAACGAAGGCAGGGGAAGAGGGGTTGGTGTATCGAATAACTCAAACCTTGCATTTCTAAGAGGCTTGTGCACTGCTCATCCTTGTGCGGCAGGAGCAAAAATGAATAGGAGGAAGGGGAATTTGCCACATCCGTGTGATTTTCAAGCACTTTTCTCATACAAATGTCTTAGGTCTTATCCCAAGTGTGCATTGGAACAGGGCAGGAGATGGGGCGTGCAGCTGAACTGACTGGCACCAGGATACCCTGACCACACAGGCATCTCAGGGGAAGCATCAATAGCACACCTCAGGGTCTGCAGTTTAGCTGCAGCCTCATCTTTCCTCTTTAGCCACTCAATCATTCATTTTCTCTGCCGGTTGAATCAGAAGGAGTTGCACTGAGTCGGTCTCATTCCTAAATAAGATCCTGCAGAGTCTAGAGTCATGATGGGTCACTTCATCCCCAGCCTCCATACTGACTCACTGTTTAGATAAGTGAAGTTACTTGGGATACGATAAAGAAGTGGTCCTCCATTAGGTCATCAGGCAATTCTTCCCACAGGCTGCAAAAAATTCTTAACGAGTTACAGCTCAGGGCAAAGGTTGGTGATAATTTGTAGATTCTGCTTTATCTAGATGGCCCTGAGCACCTCACACCCATTTATGGGTTTTACAACCCAGCTGTCATAGAGGGACACACCCCAATGCAGCTGATCTGCAGGGGACCGATGAATGAACTCCCATGTTCCCAAGTTACAGGGAGACCGCTCTTGTGTTTCATATTATAAAATAGCTGCTATATGTTCATCCTGCACGGAGTAAGACAGAAAATGCCAGCCCCTAGAAACTCGCAGCCTTAAAGTCCAGTAGCAATAATACATTTGGCTTCTAATCTTGCTGAAGTGATTGATAATTGCAAGTCAGACACAAGTCCAGCCAGATAACCAATTACTACCAACTGTGATGAATTTTGTGTTCTCTCTTTAGGAACAAACCTGAGCCCATTTGTGCTTTCACTTTGGACACTGAACAGCTGTGTCACTAGATTCAGACACGTCCAAACTAGGTTAAAATCAAGCCTATGGCCTAGACCAGTGACTCCCCACCTTATTTTTGGACTCAAGGCCCCCCCACAACACATGCTGGCTAGTGGCTTTCAATCGTTTTTTGACTACAGAAAAAGAGCAGAGCCATTCTCGTGTTGCAAAGATCTCAGCAAGACCCCAGCAGGTCGCAACAAGGCTCCAAGGCAGCTGCAATAAGCCAGAGGCAACCGTGCCTCTGAGGGAAAGGGCATCCAAAATGCCATGGGCGCCCTAGGGCCCTACCACGCATTCAGGTGAAAGCAGGCGCAGGCTGTTGCGTCTCGAGTGAAGTCTTCTGCGTTATGCAAGAGCCAGCACCGACTCGACCAACGGGCTTTGGAGATTTTGGAGGCGACTCCCTATCATTTGCCCCCTAACAGGCTCCCTGAAGCAGCAACCGCGCGACGCGACGAGATGTCTTCGATTTAGAAATCGACACTCCTCATGTTGTCCAAGACATCGCAGCACCGCCAGCATCGGCTCAACCCCCCTGCCCCGGGGTACAACCTGCCCGTTAGGATGTTCCCTGTGATTTCTAATGACCTCCCTGACCCAGCCCCAATGCCGGGGCTCGTCCCCCCCGTGAGCACAACGGCACCGGGCAAGATGCGCATCTCCCGCCCGGATACAATGGGACCCCGTGGCAGGCCTCAAACACATCGCTTCGCGGAGCCGCTGGTGGGAGCCCCAGACCTGCCGGGCCGTGGTTTCTTTCCCAGCGGGGCGGCGCTTTTTGTCTGGACAGCCAGTGGCAGCGCACAACGCTCCTCATGGCTGGACAGCCACTGTTACGACCCTCACCCTCCTATGGGGCTGGGCCACGCATGCGCCATAGAGCCTACCGCCGAGGGCGGGGCTTGCTGTCGCGCCGCTGCTTTCGTCACGACCAGGGGGCGGGGCGGAGTCCGCGGGCACCGCCTTTACCCGGAAGCGCGCGGCACTTCCGGTTGCAGGCTTCGACCTCCACACCCCGGGCCGGCCCCGATCCCAGCACCATGTCGGCCACGTTCCGCAAGGCCGCCAAGACTAGACAGCGCGAGCATCGCGAGCGGGGACAGGTGGGCAGCGGGGCCGGGGCAGGGATCGGGCCCACAGGGATCCGGATGGGGGCAGGGATCAAGCCCACAGGGATTAGGATCAGGTGCGGGGTGATAAGGCCCAGGGGGATCCAGATCAGGGGCAGGGATCGGGCCCTCGGGGATCAGGGGTGGGATCAGGCCCACAGGGATCGGGATCTCAAGTGCGGGGCGATCAGGCCACAGGGATCCGGATGGGGGCAGGGATCAAGCTCCCAGGGATTAGGATCAGGTGCGGGGTGATAAGGCCCAGGGGGATCCAGATCAGGGGCAGGGATCGGGTCACGGGTGGGATCAGGATGGGGGGGGGATCAGGCGCAGGTAACAGCGGCCGCATGCCCCGCTCTGCCCACAGCTCGGGTCCCGGAAGCGCCTGGGGCTGCTGGAGAAGAAAAAGGATTACAAGCTCCGTGCCAAGTCAGTGCCGCACCGGGGGCCGGGGCGGACGCGGGGGGCTGGGCTGGGCTGCGCAGGGTGGCGGGAGGAGGAGGCAGCAGGAAACACGCAGGTGTGTTTACAAGTGACTCCTGTGACTGCCAGGAAAGTCCGGGCACTAAGCTGCGCCAAGCCCCCGGGAGGCTGCGGGTCCCGAGCATCTCTCCGTAGGTCTCGCAGGCGTCCTCCAAGCAGGGGCCAGCTTGTTTGCGGCTCGGTGGGGTCTGTGGCCCCTGGTTCTCCTTGTGCTCCTGGTATCAGTATGAAGGCTTAGCCCCTCTGGCAGGTGTGAGCCCGTGGACAAGCTGACCACCGCCTTGCCTTACGTTTCAGTGACTATCACAAGAAGCAGGATGTGCTCCGAGCCCTCCGCAAGAAGGCGCTGGACAAGAATCCCGATGAATTCTACTTCAAGATGACCCGCGTGAAGCTCGAGGTAGGAACCCGCTTGGCCGCCTTTGCGCAGGACTGCCTTGTTCTGCTCTGCACTGACCGTGGATTTTTCTCTTTAGCTTTTTTTTTTTTAACTACGAATAACTAAATAGGCTTGTAGAGCTGGTCCGTCTGCGGTGGTGTCGGATAAGAACGATAAGAACAGATATGGGTTACGTGCGGAGAAGCAGAGGATAGAGCCTGACCAACCTGATGGCCTTTTTTATAACCAAGTAACTAAATCCTTGGATGATGGTGTCGTGGACCTAGTCTTTCTAGACTTTAAGAAGGCCTTTGACACCGGCTCTCACCCCATCCTCATCAATAAATTAAGCGACTGTGGCATTGATGCCTGCACAGTTGGATGGATAAAAAATTGGCTGATGGGGCAAACTCAGAGAGTGGTGGTGGACAGGTTGTACTCAACCTGGCGAGATGTGAGCAGTGGGCTACCCCAGGGCTCAGTCCTTGGGCCCGCACTGTTTAACATCTTCATCAGCGACTTGGATGAGGGGGTGGAAAGCACGCTGTCCAAGTTTGCTGATGACACTACGATGTGGGGTGAGGTGGGTGCACTTGAAGGGAGAGAGAGGCTGCAAATA